TGTGTGTGAGAGAGAGTGCGCGCGTGAGTGCGTGTGTGCGTGCGAGAGTGCGTGTGTGTGTGTGTGTGCGCGCGCGCGCGCGTGTGTGTGTGTGTCTGTGTGTGTCTGTGTGCGTATGTGTGTGTGAGCGCGTGCGCGCATGTGTGCGTGAGTGTTTTTGAAAGAGGAGACACTCTCATTTCGTCTGGCTATTACCAGGACAAAAGTTTTCAACATTTTATGATGGACGTCCAGATCGCTTCTTAAGAACTACTCTACTTGTTTTGTCCCCTTCTTGCTGCATACCCGTTTTGTAGCTATCCGTAAAACTACCACGAAGAAGGCGATGAGAAAAAAATGATATCCTCAGTTGGTCAGTTTATAAACTAACACCCCCCCCCACCCCCACGAGACATGAAATTAAATCAAGGGACTATATATAGTAAATAGGACATACTTCTGACCCAAGAGGTGAACTGTCAAATAATGTCATGTGATGAAGTGGAGACAATATTTTTATGGGTTCAGATTAATAAAATTGATATCAATAATTGAAGTGAGTCACGAGTTTACACTGTCAAGGTTTTTCACTTGTGAGAAGTAGGACTTGCGTTACCTACCTACATACGTGTGAGGTCGAATGACCCAGCGTCCCCTATTGTTTTCACAGAACTTGCCCACAAGAAAAAGGACCATGCAGGATTTTTCTACACCAAAGGGCACGATCCCTGTTTGCACTAAATAAAGCTGAAGTGACTGCAAAATCTTTAGAATGACTCATTTATAATCATACCTAACAAGACGTGTTGTTTGTCCAGTGTTATCTGGTTATCTTTAAGTTATAAAACGACCTGGCGATTTGAACTCCTTTGACCTCGGTTATGTTATCATCCGTATGAACTACATGTAATTAAGATGAAAGCCATGTAGGTTTGTATCTCACCCGTCTTATATTGATCAGTAGAAGAAAAGGGTTAGCTCTGAAGTAATGACGTTTCTGGAATTCTTATATTTCCTGTGGGGGTCGGTAAAATTAGACCATAATGATTTATCCTTCAAATGTCTGGAATAAAGTACGTTTTCCTTTTACTTTATCATATCTTTTAACGAAGGCAGATAACGTTCATAAATATGACAAAATATGCAACCCATCCTTAGACTAAGAGTCATATTTACAAAAAGCAGAAAAAGGTTCTTATATAATATCAATAATACGTTCAAAATGCACGAACAAATCAGTACTTTTAGGAATTTTAAACAAAGGGCTTTCGTGCGATTCGGGGTTGAGAAGAAGAATTTACGTTCTTTAGCAAACAAAGCTCCGTGACCGTCTGTTTTCTATCTCATCTAAACATGAACACTGTAGGCTGACAGAGACCCAACGTTGTCTTTAATACTATGTGTCTGTTGTTATTTTGAGAACAGCCAATACGGTGACGTAGACGAAAAGATGATCACTTATTGTTTTGTAAATCCCAAGACAGTGTATAGACTTTTGAACCCCCCCCCTCAGATAGAACAAATTATAATGTAAACTACAGGAACATTGACAGATTGTAGATTAAATAATTAAATGTCGTGGTGTTTTTGTCCCCAACGACACACTTCAGATCAATCCCGGGACGGGTTGATTCCTTCCTAGCACTAGCTTGAGCAGAGCGGAATACAAACGTCTTTCCTTCCTAGCACTAGCTTGAGCAGAGCGGAATACAAACGTCTTTCCTTCCTAGCACTAGCTTGAGCAGAGCGGAATACAAACGTCTTTCCTTCCTAGCACTAGTTTGAGCAGAGCGGAATACAAACGTCTTCTCTACAAAATGGAACTTCTGTCTTTCGGGTGTACAGAAGAAGAACCTTTCTTACTACTGCACTATTTCCATTAGCGTTTCCTAAAATTTCAAGCTCAATTTTGCTAGCTCAATTAATTTCTAAGCTGAAACTGAAATGTCACAGTGCTTCAATAATAATATATTATTATGTGTTTGCTTGAGTTCTCCCAAACCAACACTTCCATAAGGTGTTGAAACCACACCGTCAGTCAAGTGTTTTAGTAAGGTTTTACGGCGCTCGCAACTGCAGAACGTCATATGAGCGCTTAGTCCAAACGGGGAATCAGACTTACTCTGCTCACCTCTCTTGCCTCAACCGTACAAAGTCTACTTCGACTATCAAGC